TCATGCTTAACAAATAATTTCTAATATTATTCTAATACTCTTGTACATGTACGTTATTTTGTTGAAAATAAAGAAGTAATTAAATGTCACAATAGTATTTTATAATATGTCAATACATATTTGAAAAATATATGGAAACTAGTAAACAATTGTCTTTAAAATGTTTACTACAAAGTTTAATTAAATAATATTAAATAATACCCAGTTAATGGTAATTTGGAACAGTGGCGAGACCGGCTATAAAACCTAATCCCAAAATTCCCTTGGATGTAATTTTGTCCGCTTGTGTTATTTTTGATCATCTCTGTATGGAACAAAATACAATTCACTTGTATATCCCGTAAGTCGTTGTTTTTAAATTATATAACCATGGTCAATAAAAAGAAAAAAAAGATAATATTTGTTAGGTAACTTATACCTAGGTGAACATTCCCAAATGCCACGAATAAAAGTTAAATCCGTTATATTATACAACCATGCTGGATAAATATATCATAATATTATATTATATTATACATATATAAACACAAAAACATATTCATTTGTTTGTAAAAAGAAAACTTTTTGAGAGAAATATTACACGTGAATAAATATTTAAAAATTGTTTTCGCATACATGGAAAATTGTTAGTTATAAAGTATTAAAGTAGTCAAATATTAGTTATTAAGTATATATAATGGTCGTTAAAAGAGTAAATTAAATTATTAATTTATAATGTATATTTTTTTTATTTTTGTTTATAATATTTTAGCAAAGCAAATTGAACCAACAACTTATGAAGTCTTCAGAGGATGTTATACATTTTATGTTCATTTAAAAATAAAATAGAAATTAAATTAATTTAAATTTATAAGCTACCTAATATAAAACAATAAAATATTTTATCCTTCCTACTCTTTTAAAAAATCTTAATAGATTTGAATTTGATTTCTTTGCTATAATGTGTTTGAATATTATTTAAAAAAACTTATTAAAATATTGCTCAAATTATTGAAGACCACACTGTCCTGTACATAATTATTTATGTTCAATCACCATATTCAGTTTATTATATTACTCAAGTACACAAAAATAACAGAGCTGAATACATAGCAGCATATTATACCTAATACCTATACCTTATTGGTAATTATCAATTGTGTACATGATATCTAGTTTGGGTTTATTAAATCTTGGACTATTTTAATTATTCAGAAAATAAACAAGACAGGTGGTTTGGTAATTACTATATTAATTACCTATTCTTCATTATCATTAAATTTAGTTTGCTGAATAAAATTATAAAAGTTAAAAAAAAACCAAGCTATTTAGTTTGAGATAATATTTTAAATATTAAAACTATACTTTATTGCTAATAAAATTGTTTACATTTATTGTAAATAATATGTTTGTGTACGGAGTGGTTTCCTACTATATTATTATACCTCGTCAGTCGTCTTTTCCACAAGACATTTTTTCAAAACAATATTATAACAGTGTCATTATTTATAAATGGATACCTTTTTTTTCTTTTAGTATATAGTTTTCACATTTATTGTTATATTTTTATCATTTAAACCATAAAATATACTTTCCATAAATTAAATAAAAATAGATATCATCAGTTTGTATACGATAAATTTTTCTTAAAAGTGTAGATTTTAAATTAGTTGCCCAATGATTTCATTAAGCATAATAATTAATAAACTCAATAAAGCTATGAATCTCATTAACTTACAATAAAAATAATAATTTAATAAATGCATAGCTTTATTGCGTTTATATTTATATGATTACCTAATGAAAACAATAATTTAACTTTTACACATATAAGATAACATAGACCTAGAAATTAATTATCTCTTTTTTTAAAAATGATATGAAAAGTAATTAAATGATAAAAATTAAAAAAAATATGAAAACTAAAATTTAAAAATTAACTAAAATACTTGCATCCATTTATAAATAATATTACTGTTGTAATTTTGTTTTGAAAAAAATAACTTATACAAAAAAAGACTGACTAGGTGTACTAACACAGTTAGACACCACTCCATACATAAACATATTATTTAAAATAAATATAAATATATTTATACAAGTAGTTAACTACATAATGTTTAAAACTTTTTTCAAAAAAATCATTAGAATGGAGTTAAAAATTGTTTTTCTCAAATTTTCATAATTGGAACGTAAGCTTTAATTAAAAATGGTATCTTATTATATTCCAGAATTAATATTATATTATATTGTTTGTATAGCTTAAAAACACATTTTGGTTAAGCCGACTTTTCTGTTAAGGGTGATCCACTAGGGGTGTTCAACGTTCATAAAAAAAAATAACATTTTAAATTATCTTTTAGTGAAACCACCTTACTGTTAATTAATATAATTTTCTAATGAAAAGTAATTTAATAGTAATGTATTTGTTTGAACAAAAAAAATAAACCAACGATTTATAATACTAGGTACTGTGTTCATTAAAAATTTTCTTATTTGAGTCACTTTAAGTTTAAAATAAGTGCTTGCGGTGGACTAAAAGTTAAACAGGATATATTTATTTTGATTAATAGTTAATGTATAATATAGTATGCGCTGTTATCGTAGACTATAGTGTACAGCGTATACACAATAATAAGTTAATTAGAGTTATACTGCTATACAAAAACTCAACTAAAGCTTAAAACTATTTAAAAACTTTTAATCAACATTTGTTTGAAATTCATTTAAGTGGCTTTAAAAACGATATTTTTTACAGCCGTTATCCAATATATAAATGCATTACCAGTTAAAAATGATTTTGTAATACAGATAAATCAATTTGAACATTAAAAACCCCGAGGAAATAAATCACGGTTCGAGTGAGTCAAACATTTCAGATATACATAATTGTTTAATTTTTCAATGCACTTGATGTTTCTTTAATTTATTTTATAAAAGTCAGTATTCATTGCTTATAGTAAAACCATAAAAATATACAAGTCATGCTGATTAATCAACAAACTGACTAAAATCTGATAACAACCATACTGAGAGTTGTATTTATTTACGTATATTATGTAATTACCTACTATAACTTAACGAGTAAATTAAACATTATCTAAAATCTTAAATCCAACAGAATATTTAAACCAATAACGTTTGAAAATATGTATAATGTCTGTAATAAGTAATAACTAATATAAAATATTACAGTCATATAAACTTTGTATGAGAAATATGATAAAATAATACATACATATTATAACCACAACCCACACGATGTTATCAACTACCTATTAACGGGATGTTAATTACATGTTAAAACTCGAAGTTATAAGACCTGATGTGATCAAAATTATTTCTTTTATGTTAAAAATGTACCAACAGTATACACAATACACGAAACATTCAAAAACAACAAAATTATTTTTTACAAAACTGTCGAAACTGACATTTTTTTCTTTCCGAATAAGTTATAATTTCACTGAGTACTGTTTCTGTAAAAAATATAAGTAAAATATTATTCAAACTTTTTGGATGATTAAAAACCACTACGTGTTAAAAAAATTTAATTCATTTTGATATGAAATAAAAAACAAATGTTTAATATTATATTTTTTATTATTAAAATTAAAAATACGTAGTTCTATAAAATATATATTGATTGTTTAAAATTATATGTTTGTTACATTCTGTATACTGTTTTATATTTTTGCTTTTAAAGAGTCTAAAGAAAAAAAAAATATAACAACACCATCTTTTTTTTGTTATGTCCCATAAGTTATGAAATTGATTATATTTATAGTATACTATAATAATAATCTGGTACAACGGTTTTCAGAATGCTGTTTTTGCTAAACACCTGCACATAATTTTGTTTTAGGATCGAAAAATAGGACGTTAAAGATGGATCTAACATTGGATTTTCATTATTTTTTACAGGCGTAAAATAATCGTACAACTTCCCAAAATAAACATCAATAATAAACATATTTCGTTGTTATCAAGGACGATGATTTATTTAAATACCACCATGGCACCATGATATGATACTATATTAATCGAGTCGACTTAATAACCGTTAACCATATTATAGAATCATATCTATTTAAATTATTGGGTGATGCGTTTATCCGGTAAAATAATATCGCATCGTGAATGCTACATTTATACCTATTACATCCATAACTTAAGTCTGCAGTGATTACTTCGGTCGAAGGTCTAATCACGATAACAAAATGTCGTACACGTGTAGTCTAGATATTATAATTTATAATAATACTATACAGCTGCACCACAGGCCACAGGGTGTTTCCCATGCCAAAGATTTGTTTTTATTTATAAATATATTTGTAAAAAAATGTATCCCTGTGCCATATTTTTACTAATAATTATAATAGTAATATAATATGTAACCAATTAACCAGTAGACATGTAAACCAACAAAAAATATATTCTTTTTCCCTGAGCTGAAAAAATCATGTGTGAGCTATCTTTTAGCTACATATAGGTATATAGGGATTGAAAAAATCAAATATAAATGCCCTCAAAGTCCCAAGGAATTTATTATTGATATAACTTTTATTGAATACGGTTCAGTAGCTATTGAGTCGATAAACCTTCGGATAAACCAACGCGGGGGTAAAAAATATATTGACCAAATATCAGAATTATTATATCCAATCATAATAACAGTTATATTATATAAATCGCAAACATTTGTAAAGAACAAAATAACACTAATTTCTACTTAATTTCAGGAAAGTTTTTTGATTTTTCTGCCGGTGAAAATCTCATTGGGAGTGTTGGAACATTAAAACAAAAATTAAGCCAAATCGGTCGAACCGTTCTCGAGTGATGCGGTTACCAACGGACAGCATTTCATTTTCATTATACGTCATATTATTATGGACGCGATAAATTTAGTGGCTGTATAAGGTCTCTCTCAATGGCGACTAATAGCTACCGATTTCCACCCAACTCCAAGGATGTAATATATAATAATATGATAGTTATAACTTATAATATTAATAATTTACCTTGCTGATTCGAACAACGGCCCCACGAACTCGACAATGCAGCCCAACAAGCGTCGCGGCCGTCTGGACCGAAGTTGTATATTCTGCTATTTCTGTCCATCGTGGAATTCGACAAAACTTAAAGCCGCAGGTACCTCGTTAGCGTCTGAAAAACAGAAATATTTTCATCGGGGTTAGCCATTATTTTATCGCAATGCGATTAGACGATAATATGGTATATATAATATTATACTAAATAATATCATAATATCGAAGTTGTACTATTGCTACGACGAACGCGGTGCAGCTGTCGAACGATAATAGGTAATATTATTAGAACGACTGTGTATTGGAAAATATCGACATGAAAATTATTACTTGGTGAAATAAAATTACTTGTCAACTGAGTTTGAAAGAGGGATTTTCCATCGTCACTTTACGCATTAAAATTCGCGTTTGGCAATTGAACACGTATTCCACTCATTATTAATTAATAATATGTAATAACATATTATGTCGTTATAGGAATTATAGTAACACAGTAACCACGTTAGGTAAGTATACATAAAAGTTTGTCTGAAAACCTACAGCTGAATTAAAATGCTCGTTAATTTTCGTTATCTCATATAATATACTGTAACGCACGCCTAATAACTTTTCAATACCAAAATATTTAACATTATATTCTGGTTTATTTTTGTGTTTTGTTGACACATATTATTAGTTAGGTATATCTTATTATGTGGGACTTAAACCTGGTTGGATGTCTTTTAGGATGTTTGTGCTTTTGATTATTAATTTATAGCCTTAGTTGTTTCCGAACCATAACGATACCAAACTATTTAATATAAATAAACCTAAGTCCTATAATAATACTCCTGTATAATAATATATTTTATAAAGACATACATTTTCTAATATATAAATTATATATATATAGATCCATGATCGAGGCACCCACTCATCGGTAAAATTGTCATTGTAATACAGAGAAATTTCCTTTGGACAAATTTTTTCTGTTTAACGAAATATTTTTGAAACCAAATTAGAACCAAATTTATTATTAATATTCGATCATTTCTATCCAACGGATTTTTCTGTAATACGAATTCACTTTTTTTTTTGTCAACTAGATTTTGCGATTGTAAAGTCTCACTATAATATAATTTTCGGGCATACGCGCCCATGTTCGGTGAAATGTTAACATCGTTCAACATTGACAAAACATTTAATGGTCCGGCGCGCCGTTTTCGTCCCGGTCAAATGGCAGTTGAAGAGGTGATATATTATAATAATATTACCCATATCATGTATTTACGTTGCTTACGACCTACAGCAGCTCATGCCGGTGACAAGATAATAATAATAATTTCGTCATATTATTATTATAAAACGTCATGGCGGCCGTGCGCTCGTTATTGCCGTCGTACCGATTCGTCGTTGTACGACGTGATCATTATAATGATCTCGTACGCGATAATGGGACGCGCAAACAGAATAATATGTCAGACGAGCGTGTTATTAATATGGCGTGGGCCTTGGGTATAATAATATAATGCATTTAAATATTGTAAAGGTTGTGTGTCTGTGATGGGTAGGTGGCAGTATTCATATTATAGTACCTCAACGCCGACGTTGAATCCCCTTAATATATTATTATGTAGATATTTATATAATGTGTTATTACCTTTGCCCATATAATAATATGAACGGCACACACGTCAAGCCGCGGCCGTCCTTTTAAACGAACGAAAATTTTTTTTCTAAAAAAAAAGTTCGCGCTACACCGTGAATGGGTTGGTGGTACCTACTGGAGTTATATTTTAATAGTAATAAATAATAATATATTATATTATATATATGTACATCTTTAGCTTTAAGTATACTATACTGAAATAAAATGTAATAACGACGAGAAACTTTTTTTTTTTTTTTACAGTGTTTCGTATTATTTTTACGGATTACGCAACTATATGGCAGTTGGCAAACACGATAATAATATAATAATTATGTAATATCATTTCGATCCGATTCGGAGGCGGACGCGAGACCAATAATCGAATGTTGTCGTATATGAAAAAATTACTAGTAATTAGTTATTATTATTATTATTAAAAATTATTAGTAATTTTTTCATATACGACAACATTCGATTATTGGTACAATAAACACGGTACTCCCATAATTTGTCTTTATAAAATGTTTATGATCGTAGTAAGTAATAAACAAAAAAGTTTTCATACCTGGGCCCGTCGGTGTTTTCCGCTATCAGACGATGGTGTTTTAAGCTTACTATGAGCTTACTTATGAGCTCTGACGAAATAAAAACAAAAACGCATAGACGAGCGCTGTCAGAGACGTATACGACGAGACATAGGTAATAATATATTGTAATATTGACACTATAAAAACGCGTGTTGCGCAACAGCGGTAATTTTAGAACATTTTTTGCTGCAATTACAATTATTAAACTGTAATATTATTATTATTATTGAATGATTTTAACGGGAGACAAAGTTTTTGAAAACTTGTCTCGTGCGACGCGGCTATAATAACAGTGAATTGGAGAGACGTCCGCGGGCCGCGATGGAGTAAAGTTCGATAACACCTGTTGTACCGCTAGGTGATTAAGACGATAGATATCGATTGCTGTGTGTGTCGGAGAGACGGATTTCATGATAGCGGAGGGAAAGACCCTGGCATATAGTGTGCTATAATATTATTATACAATATTAATATCATATTTTGTCCATGTATAAGTAGTATAAAGTAATAATAACGACGCGTTTGTTGTTCGTTTATCTTTCATGGTTTTAATACGACATAATATTTGTATTATTATTAATAATCAATATTATTGTTATACTGTTTTCGTTGGCCGTTGGTACCTACTCTATAGTCCACACTTCACAGCAATAATAATTTAATATTATGATCTAGCATTATTATCACACAAGTAGTATGCATAAATTATATTGCATACTATTATAATATACTATATTATTACCTCTCTATCATTATAATCTTCTCAAACAGCCTTACGCTCTGCAACGGAAATAACACAACAATTATTTTATTGTTAATACCAAGGTACCTATATAAAAGAAATTCGACAGCTGAACTTTTTTCTTGTATATTCAATATACAACGTTGAACGTGTAGTACACATTCCAATCTTTCATTGTAGTTGAGTTTACGATTAACCGTCGGTTAAATCGAAATTGGAGGACATTATTATAACAGCCCTAAGCCTTGTTTTAGTCTTTAGACGATTAATATTTATAGCGTAGTAGGCAGTATTGACTATTAGAATTATGTCCAGACTATAGTTTGTATACAGACGATTTTTTTTTTTTTTTAAAGAAATCATTTATAATTGAAATCAACAGCGAGATAATTGTTAAATGTCTTTAAAAGTGTATTGAACTAAATATATGCTTTTATTGTTAAACTTAATTTTTATAAATAATATATTTACTAAAAATGTACTTTACAGATTTTATAAAAAAATTAGGTACGTTACAAGTTATAGCTACACGGAAATGATGATGCGGTAACTTGTACTTATAAGTTTTAAGTTATAAATTATAAGTTTATAACGATACAAAGTGTAACCGTTGCACGACATGATATCGAATTATTCTATAAACATTTGTGGAACCCTATAATGCGAATAGGGTGCCGATGCGTTCGATTGTATAATATTACAGAGGTCACAAAAAAAAACTTCAAAATCCATCAGAGCGGAAACGCTTGGATTTTTCACGGCGGTGAGGCAGTATATTTAATTTAATTAATTTTTCCTTCTAGTGTACCACTCATCCGTCCATCCATCGAAAACAATTTATGGCCCTGGTATGTACCTACCTACAAGATACGCTCCAAATGCCTCCGACCAATAATGTGCACTTCAAGCTTATGTTTAATATTTAGAGTTGATTATCAAACCATTCACTATTCAGATAGGTACGAAAATAATGTCCTCGCTTGGAATCTGTCGCCGTTTTTTCCTTCTGCATTTTGATTTTAAAACAAAGTGTAATTATATGGATTTTGCATTTGCTTAAAAACCACGTTATGCACAGCTTCAGAAATGTAATCTAAAAATACCGAGAAAATAACGACCACAGATCACGCGGTTAATGTTTCTTTCTTAAAATCCTGTGTTGAAAATATAATCGACATTCACACCGATACGAGCCCATAAAAATCGTTTTGTTTGGGTACCATGTTCAAGAATAAAATATTATTAAAATTCGGCGGCCAGCGAGAACAAAATATATTTTGTTGTGTTCTCTCAAGTTGATATTATATTAGTCGCTAGACGAATTATTCAAAAATTAAAATTACACTGTAAAACTAAACGATTACCTTATGATTGAGTTTAAAACAATCGTTTTTCGTTCTGTATTTACTTTGATTTGAACCAATCTGATTGAAATAATAATGTGTAAATTATAAATATAATATTATTATATATTTATGTGTTATATGTTACCACCTAGGTACAGTAAATTAAAGGACCATTATAATAATATTATACCTGCACATGTGCACACTACTTCTATAATACGTGCCACCAATTTTACCTAACTTTATTATGTCATTAAAGAAATAATTAATTAAATAAACACAACTTACGAGTTCACAATGAAACACTTTATGAGAATAAATTGTTAATGTAATATTTTTAAGTCAAAAGAATATAATTTATATATTTTATATTATATTATATTTGTGAATAATATAATACCTATTGTATTCGCTTTATTGGGCTTACATATTTTATAGCAGCGGTAACTTCAGGAGATTACAAAATCGTGTACCATCTGTATAGGTACACCCAAAAACAATATAACATAACAAAGTACAACAAGTATTATGTATGTTGTATGAGTTGATCGGAGTTCTCCTTCTATTCAAACAAAGATAATAATAATATGTAAAATGATGATATTAATAATGAAAACATAAAATAGTTATACTTAGTAATAGTTATTAGTTACTCTTTACTTTTTGTGTTGATTTCGGGAACCCATAATCTTTTATGCGCCTTGTTTTATTATTCAAGTCTTCTTCGGCAATAAGGGCTTGTGTTAATATCGTGAATTTTTCGTCTCC